AAAAAGAATGCTGCAGGGAAAAGTCTTGCACGGATATTATTTTGTATTTCTGCCATTGGATCTTTAGGGCACAGCCCTAAAGAGTAGCAGATTCCTAGGGGAAGGGCAAATTCATATGCAATTTTGCTAAATATTGCCACATTTCTTTTCAAGGGGGTCGTGCCCCTCTGCATCCCCACGCACTCCACGCTAACTGAATTAAATAGGTGATTCCACTTTTCATTTCTAGAAGTTCCATCTGGCTTTTTCCCAAATCTGCTAGGTCACATTCATGCTTTCTTTCTCCCTATAGTTCCACACTTGTCTTTTATTCCTTTAAACAGAGTAAGCATGATTGGTGTGGAGTCTGACCCTGACATTCCTGACTTTCCGAGCCTGTTTCTGCTGCGGGTTGCAGCTGTTGGTGCCTGCCCGTGGCGTCTGGCTCATTTTTCACTGTATGCTGGTCACTGTCCTTGAACAGTCGGTTTGCAAGCTCCTTGAAGCCTAGGATAAACACCTTTCCTCCAGAGAATATGCATTTGCTCTGCTGGGCACCTGGGAGGACGACAAGTCTAGGGATCCCCAAGAATTGAGGTCAGAGAGGGAGGTTTCCTCGTGCTGTCAGTAGGAGTGAGTCCTGGTCCCTGTCCTTCACTTCTTAGAACAGGACTTTCCTTTCATTCCCTGCCACCTCCTCCCTCCCTCCAGTGCTCTGCTTGGGGCAAGAGCCACCTTCCCCGAAGTCTTCTGTGTTTACTGAGGGTGTATATTAGCCCTTGACATAGCAAAACAGATTGACACTTACCTTCAGCCCTTAACCCCTGAGACCCTCAGGGCAAAGGGTCTCAGTGCGCCTCTTGGTTGACCCCACCCCAACATTTGGCCTGGAAGTTCTTTACAACCTATTGGCTCTTCCATACTGCAAGATATTTCTGGGGGTGCTTGGGTGGTTCAGGGGGTTAAGCATCTACCTTCAGCTCAGGTTATGATCTCAGGGTCCTGGGATGGAGCCCTGCATTGGGCTCTCTGCTCAGTGGGGGGCCTGCTTCCCCGCCCCCCGCCCCCCGCCAGCCTCTCTGCCTACTTGTGATCTCTGTCTGTCAAATAAATAAATGAAATATTTTTTAAAAAGATATTTCTGTATTTTTTCCAGCATTTTTAGTTAAAGCAGAAAGGCGGGTCTGACAGATCTGGCCCATCACGACCAGAGATAGATGTTCTACCATGCGTGTTTTTAAAAATTAGCTTTTAATTAGACAAGTAACAAGAATACATTGTCCTTGTAAAAAAAGTAAAATGTGTGCAATACCGGCCAGTAGGTCTGCCAAAGATGAGTTTCTCTTCTAGCCATCAGGGACTAATTCAAGTCTTGTCATCTTTCGTTATGACTCAGAATGGTTCTTTTAATTAAAAAACTTAAAACAAAATTGAAACTTTAAAACAATACGGACAGCATAAGGTCTCCTTTGATCACTACTCATTTCCAGGACATACAACGGGCATCCTGACTTCTAACGTCATAGATTACTTTCCAAGAGAGGTTTTCAAATTAGGAAAATATACCGTAAAAAATTGATTTCCATCTTCTCCTGAATACTCAGAAGTTCAGGCAACATTCACCTTGACCTGGGTGTCCAGATATGGCACCCCTAGGATTTCCCCAGTTTGGCACAGTACTTGGTACCCCATGGTGTCTAATTCTGGAAGCTTCGCCCATGGTTAACACCTGCCTGGTCACTACAGAAGTCTGAATTTACAAATCCCAGCTGGTTGGTTCTCTCCTGAGGCTAGTCAAGCAGTTTCTGGGTTTTCCCTATTTAAAAAAAAAAAAAAAAAAAATATATATATATATATATATATACACACACACACACATCCCGCACCCAGCATTTCCATAGGGGTGTGTGTGTGTCTGTCTGAGCACACTGACAACCTACGCCCACACAAAACCTTGTACACAAATGTTCATAGCAGAGACAGTCATATGAGCCAAAGCATCCAAGTGTCCATCAACCATCGAACGGACAAACAAAATGGGATACATCCACACAATGGGGTATTAGTGGCCATAAAAGGTAATGAAGTGGTGATTCGCGCTACAAGGATGACCCCCAAACACATGATGCTAAGCGAAAGAAGTGAGTCACAGAAGACCATGTCTGTAGGATTCCATTTACACAAGACATTCAGAACAGGCAAGTCCAGAGAGACGGAAAGTAGACGGGTTGGCGGGGGCTGCGTCGAGGGCGAGGGTGCTAGTGGGCACAGGATTTCTTTTGGGGGATGATGAAATGTTCTAGAACAGAGAGCGGTGAATGTTGGTTTGCACCACTCTGTAAACACTCTGCAACCACCAAAGCGTGCTCTTGAAATGAGTGAATTGGGTAAGTGAGTTCTCTCTTCATAGAACTGTTACTTAAAAAACAATACTGCCATCAACATCTGTGAACACTCTTTTTGGGATCTGGGCTTGCTGGGCCATAGGGCCATTTTATTTCTTCATTTCTCCAGAGTGGCTAAACCAGTTATCTACATAAACAGTGTGATCATTGTTTCTTCAGGCCATTAGTTACTTTCTGTTTTGCCAGTCTAATGGATAAATGGAAAACATGGCATCTTTTTTAAATTTGTATCTCTTTTTAATTTGTATTTCCCTGGTTACCAGTTTTAGAATCTTTTTTTTTTTTAATTGGTAGTTTGGGTTTTCTATGAAGTATCTGTTCACGCCCTTCACTCATTTTTTTATTGGGATGTCTTTTTTTTTTTTTTTTTTTTTTTTTAAGATTTTATTTATTTGACAGAGAGAGACACAGCGAGAGAGGGAACACAAGCAGGGAGGCCCAATGCCGGGGGGTTGAATCCAGGACCCTGGGATCATGACCCAAGCCAAAGGCAGATGCTTAATGACTGAGCCACCCAGGCACTCCTATTGGGATGTCTTTTGATTAATTTGCATTTTTGATACATTCTATATGGGTATACTTCATTTTATACTCTGCACATATTTTCCTCATATACAAATATTTTTAAGTTTTTTTTTTTTTAAAGATTTTATTTATTTATTTGACAGACAGAGATCACAAGTAGACAGAGAGGCAGGCAGAGAGAGGAGGAAGCAGGCTCCCTGCTGAGCAGAGAGCCCGATGCGGGGCTCGATCCCAGGATCTTGAGATCATGACCTGAGCTGAAGGCAGCGGCTTAACCCACTGAGCCACCCAGGCGCCCAGTATTTTTTTTTTTTTTTAAAGGTCTTATTTATTTGACAAAGATCACAAGTAGGCAGAGAGGCAGGCAGAGAGAGAGAGAGGAGGAAGCAGGCTCCCTGCTAAGCAGAGAGGCCAATTTGGAGCTCGATCCCAGGACCCTGGGATCATGACCTGAGCCGAAGGCAGAGGCTTTAGCCCTCTGAGCCACCCAGACGCCCCTACACAAATTTTTTATGTGCGTAAAATACTCATTAGGAAGAGCCTGGCACTTAATTAGTAAATAGGAAATACTTCTTATTGTTAATAGGTGGAAAGGCAAGAATTGGTAAAGGTGTCCACATACACCCATCTTTTAAAAAAGTTGACTTAGGGACGCCTGGGTGGCTCAGTTGGTTAAGCAGCTGCCTTCGGCTCAGGTCATGATCCCAGCGTCCTGGGATCGAGTCCCACATTGGGCTCCTTGCTTGGCAGGGAGCCTGCTTCTCCCTCTGCCTCTGCCTGCCATTCCGTCTGCCTGTGCTTGCTCTCTCTCCCTCTCTCTCTCTGACAAATAAATAAATAAAATCTTAAAAAAAAAAAATTTGACTTAATTACTTACGCACTACAAGAAACACCATCAGAGAAAGTGGAGGGCTCCAGGAGCTCTATTTCCTCCATTTTTCCTTCCTCCTTCTCCTCCTCTCCCCTTCCTAGCCCGCCCCTCCCCTTGTCTGTTCCCCCAGTCATTCAAGGCAAAAACCACCTTGGGTCTAAGATGAACTAAGCGCTAACTAGGCCCTGGAAATTTGGTGGATGCCTCCTTCTGGGACAGAGCCATGCTCACAGACCTCCCCTAACGGCACAGCAACAGGAGGGCTTCTTTTCCATGGTTTCCAGAAACACCGGGCACCGGAGCTGAACAGCACGCACCAGCCAAGCGCTCATCTCCTCGGTCTCATGGGTGTGTCCCACCAAGACATGGAAGCTGATATTTACTTTTACTTTTTTACTTCAGTTCCTGAACTGACCTCAGCAGATAAACACACCAACACGGAACACAGTCAACCAAGAATAATGAAATCAAAGTCAAAGTAAGGACAATTTCCTTTCTAGTTTGTGGCTCTCAGAAGCAGCTTAAAACCAGATTCCTGAGAGGCTGGCTTGCCGGCGGGTTCCTTCCCACCCGCTGCAGCTCTGGGACCCCGGCTGAGCACTGCAGGTGCCCAAAGAAGCCAGTCTTACGTGGCTGAGAAAGCAGGTGTGGTTGGGACCCTTTCCAAGCAAGGATGGCCCCTACATGGTAGCTGTATCAGCTCGTGCTCCCTGTCTCGAGGGAAGCCCTGAACCCCAGACCTAAAAAAAAATTTAAAAAAAAGGGAAACACACACAGGAATTTATTGGGCAGGCTGGTTTCGTCTGGTCTCCTGGGTCATGGTGTTTGGCCAGGAACAGAAGGGTAGACAAACCACAAGGCTCAATTTCATCCCCCTAAGATCATCTCAGCCCTTCATTGCTCACTGTTGGCTGTGTCTTTCCTGCCTCACTTCCAGCCCAAGGGGGTCCCATGTCATCGCTATAGGCATTGCGCCTTCCCAGAACTAGTAAATGAGAACTCAAAGCAGAGAGCTTCCATCGCACAGAGGGAAGCAGACAGGCCCCTGGGGGACCGGCAGGGCGATGGGGACGAGGTTGGCAGGGACAAGGTCGGCAGTGCTTCTGGTAACAGGTGCCTCAAATTATATTCAAACCTCTTACCCCATCACTGCAGACCCACAAGGAAACCACTGCCACTCACACCAACTATGGTGTAAAAATAGTCCATAAAGTCTATAAAACTGTTTAGAAAAAATTTATTTGAACATATGAAAGGAAAATTTAGACCTCAATAAAACAGAGGAGCTCCTGGGCTGGGGCTCCCTGCCCGGTTCCCGGCCCGGCCCGTGCCGGGGCCCAGCTTCGAGCTCACAGAGCTCCCAGGGACCCGTCCCACTCACACGCAGAGACACCAGCGGGACCTGCAAATGCTGCTCATCACAGCCATGCTCGGGGCAGCACCGGCTCCCCGTGTGTCTGAAACGACCCACGGACACCGGCTCCAAGAATCGGCGTCTCAGCAGGACACCCACACGGCTGGGCGCACGCGGTCTGTCCTTCCTTCCACACATCCCATCCAGACTTGAACGTGACCTGGCAGAAGGCCCCCTGGACTGCAATGCCGTGTAACGCCCGCACCAAGACAGTCCTGCTGGGGATGAGGGGCCACCGGCTACCCGAAAAGGTCCTCTTCGAGGGGGTGGCTCCCCCTTTCTCTGGAAGGCTTCCTCCGGCCCAGGCGGAAGGCACACTGCCCCTCGGTGGCACTGGGGCCGGCCTAGCGGATGGGCCTGAACGGGAAAGTCATGCCCGACATGAATGTGTGCCCCGGGTGTGCGGGCAGAGCAGGGTGGGCGGCGGGGTGGGCCGGCACGGCCCCGTAGCCCAGCGGGGGCGTGTGGATGTGAGGGTAGAAGCCGGGGGGCAGCGCTGCGTGGGGTGCCTGCTGCACCGGGCCCGAGATCACCAGCTGGAGCAGGCTGTGAACACAAGAATAAGGGTTAGGCGCACGGCGGTTGAGCTGGCCTGTCCCCTTATGGATGCGGCAGCCCCCGGAAGGGAGAGAGGGCCTGGGCACGGTGGTGGCCTCACACACGTACTGGGAGATGCACCAGACGCAGGCACAGAACATGGAGGTTTCCAGAGGGGGGAACCTATCAACTCGGCACAGATGGGGGTGGCTTATGGCTGGGGTAGGGAGTGGGGGTTGGAGCAGAAAGAGGTGACCTGGAGGTGGCAGGATTGAGACTAGCCCGAGACAGAGGAGAGGGGAAGGGCTGGCAGTAGGAAAAGCAGGATCCTACAGGTGACAATTTGGGAGGAGGGAACTGAGGAAACCACAGGGCAGGTGCCCAAGGCGGGGCAGGGACAGGGCTGCAGTCCATGGAAGCTCTGGGCACAGGCTCGGTGTCTGTGGCCTGGAGACCCCCACATCCGGTTCAGCCCCAATCACCTACACTTAAGAGGGTTATGACCAAGGCAGGACAGCAAGCAGGACGGCAGGCCACAGGGCTCCCAATGTCACTCGTAATGACTGAGTCCCAAATGAATTCCAGGCACAACACAGGAACGCAGGCCTTTCCGAGGCTCAGACGTGAGCATGGTGTAGGCCCTGCCCTCGGGATGGCCCAGGCCCAGGCCTGGACCCAGCCCTTTCCCACCTTTAGGGGCCACCCTTTCCCTCCCTCTCTGCAGAGCTCCTGCTTACTGGCTCCTTCACTTATGGGAGAGCCTTCTGCAGTCACTCTCCAACCCTACGCATCACACCCAGGGTCTCCGTGGGAAGACCCAGTCACTCCTTTGCCAACTCCCACCCATGACCACCCCAAGCCCTAGGTGCCACGTGCCTCCACGGGCCTGTTCTCTGCTCTCCGTGGCTCAGGACACCCATGGCCTCCACCCTCCTCCTGGAATCCCTTTTGGTTTCCAATATTGGTCCCTTCTAAAACTCCCTGAAGAGTTCCCTCTGCCTGGCCCCCTCCTTGCCAATCCCACATTTCCTCCCAGAGAGATCAGCAAAGATTCCTAAGTCTCCCAGCACCACGTGCTTCGCAGGCCTTAGCTGGCCCACTTGGCCAACCCCAAACACCCAATCACGCCCTAATCGGAGAAACTTCTTGGGCCCTCTCCTCTTCAGGACAGAGGCCTCCTTTCCCAGCCCGCCTCTCCTCTTTCTCCCCTGCAGATGGACAGACTCTACGCTTGCTCTCCAGCCACAACCCGGGGCCATGGCTCCGGCTGGCTTCTGTGTCTCTGCAGCGTCTAAGTCACTCTTGCCACATCACCAAATCTGCCTGCCTGGTCCTGTTCACACCCATCATTCATCCTAAGGACTTCCTCATCCCACCAGGCCACACCTTCCCTGCACACGACCCTGCTTGGTCCAGGAACAACCCCAGGCCACTTCGCCCTGGCTACCCGCCGCCACCTACCTGGAGCTCTGGCAGTGGGGGCTAAGTCTTCTGCAGACAGACCCTCACCCCTCCCACCCCTGAAGATAAAGTCTGGTGCTCAGAGCCCACAGGAGGAGCTCAGGAAGTAAACCCAAGGCACGAAGAAAGTTGGTGCCTTCTAATGGCCTAAGGCTCTTCGGAGCCCCTTTTCTTTCACATTTTTTAAAAAGATTTTATTTATTTATTTGACACAGAGAGAGAGAGAGCAGAAGCAGGGGCAGCAGCAGAGAGAAAGGGAGAAGCAGGCTTCCGAATGAGCAGGGAGCCTGATGTGGGGCTCCATCCCAGGACCCAGGGATCATGACCTGAGCTGAAGGCAGAGGCTTAACCAACGAACCACCCAGGCGGCCCCGGAGCACCTTTTCATTTATGTTACCACATTTTTTTTTTTTTATAACTCACAGTGAGAAAGTCACTCCAAATAAGCAAACACAGAAACAAGTCTAAGAAGAGCATTACAAAAGCAAAATTTAAGTCATATGCTCAGTTGAATCTGCACACCCTGCCAGAGATAAAAGGGGTTTCAATAAGTTTCCAGTCTAGGGGTGCCTGGGTGGCTCAGTCATTAAGCATCTGTCTTTGGCTCAGATCATGATCTCCGGTCCTGGGGTAGAGTCCCGTGTTGGGCTCCCTGCTCAGCAGGGAGCCTGCTTCTCCCTCTTCCTCTCCCCCTGCTGTGTTCCCTCTCTCACTCTCTCTCTTTCCGTCAAATAAACAAAATCTAAAACAAAAAAACAAAAAAAATAATGTTTCCAGTCTATTCAGAAAGACAATTCACGGAAAAGAGACTACTATCAGAAGTCAAAGAAGTTTTCCAAGTGGCTCTGTGTCCTGTCTTTCCCTGCGTCGCTGCCAGGCTGCCCCTGGGAGGGTGGGTTTTGGGCCATACGACTTAGGATGGGGCCCAGCACAGGCTGTGAAGACGTTTCCCTGGGATTCCAATGGGGGGACCCCTGGTCACAATGCTAAGACGAGAAAGGATTTAGACCCTCTCACTGCTCTAATGGCCTGAAATGCTACACATTAGACAAGAGCTGTGCACAGAGAAGGGAAGCCGTACGGAGAGATTACTGCAGGAGGAACAGAAAATTGCCAACTCAGTAACGAGGTCCTCAGATGCCAGGGGAAAAAGAAAGGAACACTGTGGGCTCCTGAGGGACAGGTGCTCTCTAGGCAAGCTGTCCATTCTGCTGACAGATTATGCCGAGTGGCCCGTTCTGTTCTTCCAGGACCCACACGCTCTACCCACTTGGTTTCCTCCTCGGCCCAGACACCTGCCAAAGCCGCAAGGCCTTGGCGCCAAGATCTCCAACCGCACAGGAGCGCACAGTCCTCGGGCCACGGCTACTGTCGCCGTCAGCCCGTGAGCCGGCTCCTGGCCACTCCTCCGGCCCTGGGTGATGCCTGTGGTCAGCCTGCCATCCGTGCCCAGACTCCTGGCCCTGGGCAGCTGTGAGCACCCACCCCGCAGAGGGGCCTGGCGGGCTGGCTTGCCCGCTGTCCGCTGTCTGAGACCACCGGTCCCGGAGCCCCAGCCGATAAAGGCCAATGCGAGCCTCTGCAGAGAGGAGAATGTTGGTCATCCTACGAACTTCACTCCGCTGTCTTCTGTCCCTGTGCACACCAGGAGGGAGCTGTGCGCTCAGCGACAAGCTCTCCCTCACTTAGTCGCCACAGTTACTCTCTGAAGTGGATACATAATTTCTGTCCCTCAGATGTATCACTCCTAAGTTACTAAGTATCCCCATGCTTCCACCGGGGAGGTTGCCTCTGGTATTTTGCTACTGATGATACTGCATTTGCCTGAAAAGTTTTCACACACACAGCTTTTGCTTCTTAGAGTCCGCGAAATTAATTAGAGCAAGGGACATTCCTACATCATGACAACAGTAAGTGGACCAGCAACTGCTGCTTCTTAGATACGTGCCACACACCAAGCACGCAGCAAGAACACAAGAACGCGGTTGCGAGGGTTTTCTGTGTTTTCACTCTGATCCTCACAAAAATCCTACGGGGCGGCAGGCAGGAATGGCAGGGGGACAGGAGACAGGAACGATTATTTTCTCGATTTTACAGACAAAGCAAGGCAGTGGAAGACCAGGAAACCGCCCAGGGTCACACAGAGAGCAAGCCGCCAGCCTGGACCTTTCCCCACAGCCCTGCTCCTCACCACTATTCACACGGCTTCTCCCAAATGATGACAATAAGTGCCACGGAAAACCAGGGACAATCACCCTCAGAAGCCACTCGGTGCTGCCACCCAGCGACAAAGCCTAAAATGACATGCAGTGCCCCAGGGCCGTGGTTCTGAGTGTTTTCCACAGGGCTGCGCCACCCACACTGTCACCGGCCGTGTGCATGCACAAATGTCCAAAGTCACCACGTACCACGTATGCTAATTTAGCGAGCGGTCAATGACTCTGAGCTGGGTCTGGTTTCCTCCCTGGACCCCCGGACAGGATGGCCACACCTCTTCGATGTACTCTCCACTTGGGCTTTCTCTCCTGTGGATCATGCTATCCTACCCCCGGTCAGGTCCCGAGGGGCCTCCTGACATACAGAAGCTTCAGACCCTGAAGCCCAACTCTCCCCGAGGAGGCCAGGACAAGGGCCCCACCCCACCCCAGGCCAATGCCTTCGAGAGCACTTACTTATTATGGGGCAGCCTGGAGCACAAAGTTCTCAGGTCATCTGAAATCAAGGAGACACAAAATAAGGAACAGACTGGAGACAGCAAGTCACAGAAAATAACTATTTTCAAGAATGCAGAGAGCAGTTGTGTCCTAACTACAACTTCCTAGCATCACTTAGAAACTGTGCTCTTTCTTCTTTTGATTCTTGCTTTAACAACTAGGCCCCAGACAGAATATGTGACTCAAGAAGGGGGGCAGGTCTATTGGTCATTTGTTAGGTGGCTGGGAAAGGGCCTGGAGGCAGGGCTCTCGCAGAGTGGATCAGATGCCTCAGGTGCAGTGGGAACCGCACCACAGGGACCGCTGCCTGGGGCCAGAGGCAACGTCGGCCAGTGCACGGTCACTAAACCAGCACAGGTGTTTATGAGACACCGGGAGCCTTCCAGCACTGAAGTACAGGAGAATCACAGACCCAGAAACAAGTGCTGGGGATGTTTCCTGTCCTTGAACCTGGGCACTGTGCTGTATGAAACTTATGCCTCAATAAAAATGGGCTACAGGAAAAGATAAGGTTCTCTAGGGGCGCCTGGGTGGCTCAGTGGGTTAAAGCCTCTGCCTTTGGCTCAGGTCATGATCTCAGGGTCCTGGGATTGAGCCCCGCGTCGGGCTCTCTGCTCAGCAGGGAGCCTGCTTCCCTTCCTCTCTCTGCCTGTCTCTCTGCCTACTTGTGATCTCTGTCTGTCAAATGAATAAATAAAATCTTAAAAAAAAGATAAGGTTCTCTACGAGGAAAGAAGGTGACGGGTCATCCTCACTCTGGAGGAGTCCCCAGTCCTGGGCAAAGCAGCCGGGAGACGCACAGACGTCACGGCCAGCGTTCGACCTGGGTCCACTCTGCGACTTCACCCCAGTTCCCTGTGCTAAGAGGAAAGAAGTGGTAAAAAAAACAGACGAGTTATTCGTCCCAGACCCCCTGCTTTCCGGGGCCAGGGAATTACCCACCTCTCGTGCACAGCAGCGCCCCGGAGGCCATGGCCACCTGCAGGGCCTGCGCCAGTCGGTCCAGTGAGAGCTCGATCTCCTGGGAGGCATTGAGGGGGTTCAGTTCATCTGCCAACCTGTTGATCTCCTCTACCAGCGGGACCATGTGGTCAAACAGGATGAGCCCCAAGCGGCCGTAGAGATTCTTCTCGGTTAAGTGCACTGGCAGCATCATGAGGACCTGCAGGACACTGAGGTGGAGTTTCGAGTACAACAGGTGGGAGTCTCTGTCCATCCCTCCTGAGTCCTTCGGAACCTTGGTCGGGACGTGGCCGTTCGACAGGGAGGGCTTCTTCTTCCTTTTGTAAGCCAGGGGGGCCTTCACGCACCAGCGGATCAAACCAGTGAGCGGGGTGAGCTCTAAAAATCCTATTGGGAGATTGGCCGCAATCGGAGTATTTAAAAAAGTGATGAGAATCAACCTCGGGTCCTCGAAAATCCAGCCGACAATCATTTCAAGCAAGTCCAACGGTGGGATGAGGTCATCTGCCAACAAAGATGCTTTAAGTCAGATGGGTTTGCAGCCCTGGTGACGCCGCTGGGGAGATGGGCCCCCTACCGGCATGATACCCAGCCCCCGACATTCGGACTTTGTGCTCTGCTTAACTATTTTGTGTCCCCTTTCCGAGAACATCACCTCCGCGAGGGCTGGGACTCCCGTCTTAGTCCGTGATTCTCCCCAGGGCCACGACTGTCTGGCCACAGTAGGGCTCAAAAACATATTTGTTAAATAAACAATTCTCTAGGACTCCACCAAGCTTTGAAGTTCATCCCCTGGGTCAATTTAAATAAATTCCCACACCACAGCTCAGCCCTTCCCAGAGTAGTGTCTGTCCCTCTGCTGGTGTCGCCTCTGTGGCCCAGTGATGGCTGCGGTGGCCTTCATAGAGCAGCTCAGGGTGTGGTCGATGTTCAGCTGGTGGCCAAGAGCCATCCCAGCCGCAGATCTGGTATCTTTGTCTAAGCAGAGCCTGACCTCCTCTACGTGGCACTTTCTACAAAGCCAAGTGTTGCCGTTTGTTTGGGGCTATGAGCCCGGCACTAGTCTAAATCCTTTCCACACATCAACTCAATCCACCAACAACCGCCTGTTATCAGAGGCAGGAGGCACAGCGATATTAAGTCACTCTCCCAGGACTCATGAAAAGTGTGTGATGGGCCCAGACATGGCCCCAGAGGGTCTGGCTCTTGACCGCTCAGCTGCACTGCCCACCCCGGGCCTGGCACACAACGCCCAGAAGGTGTCTGTGAGTGTGGGACTGGGTTCCTGCCCTTCTGTCTCTGGGGCTGTGTGGCCCCCAGCTCACGGAGAGATGAGGAAGACGGGGCCCCTTCCGGGATGCTGAGGCCAGAGACAAGCACGAGAGAGGAGTGCAGGGCGAGTGAGACACATGTGGGCAGAGGCTCCTCTTTCTCCAGAGACACCTCTTCCCCACCTGAGATCATGCCGACCTCCTGACCGGGAGTTCAACTGTGCCCTGCCCTTCTGCTATAAATGAGGACAACGATAGGTAGCCGCTGTCACCTGTGGTTCTCACTTGGCAAAATAAACGTTGGGGGAGCCCATGTCTGGCCCCTCGAGCCCCCCGGAGAGGTTTGTGCGTGAGGAATGCCAGTCTCATACGCGTGTCCAGCAGGCCACCCCGTCCAGCCACCCCCATCTAAGCGGAGGCGTCTCCAAGAGCCTGAAGCTGCGTGTGTCTGGTGCTCAGGGAGCGTGTGCCCCAAGTCTCTGCACCATTCAGGCAAGAGGAGGTCCTGTCTCCTGAGGTGAGCTGCTTCCGTCTTGTGGTTTTGAAGGCACAGAGTCCCCAGGAGTGCTCTCCCGTCACCAGAGGCTCCCAAGAGCAGCGTCAGTCACCATCCTGACTGCAGAATCCGGCTCCGCCTCTAGAGCCCCCACCAGGTGCCTGGTGACCTCCCCATCTCCTACCTCACCAAGCTGGACATGTTCAAGAGGCACAGCTTTTGGTACGTCGGTCACACCTCCATGACGTGGTCGTGAAAGTCCCCGACACATCATACGGGCAAAGGGGCTTAAGAGAAAAATACCGCGTCTCATCTCCATTCCAGAACGCTGGCGGTATGCTCTGAACATGACCGCCTTTTGTGCGCTGAGTAATGTGTCCCCAGTGTTAAAGGCAATTCCAGTCCTTGTTGGTCTGGGATGACTGACGGCTTGGAAAAGAAACTGTGGTGCAGTACAGTGGGTTTAAGGAAACCTTTCCTACAGGAAACCAGAGCGGCCTGCTACTGTTCCCAGCTAGGAACAGCTCTGAGAAAGCCTTTGCAGGAGAGCGCCAGGGAGCGGCTCACTCTAACAGCAGGGCACCCACCGCTCACAACACCTGCCTCCCAGCCCAGGGGCACGTTGCCGGGACAGAAACGGTTTGAAAGTACTTGTGACTGTGATATACACTTCCATGTTCACACTCTGTCCACACAAACTTTCCTAAGAGAACTAAAAAAACTGAACAGCACGGCGGGGAAAGGTACAAATAAGAGGAGAATCAAATATGATCCCGGAGCCGCTGGACTGAACACAAACGGAAGCGCTGCTGAGGGCTCCCCAGCGGCTGGTTTCGCTATCAGACCAGGATAAGACACTGTCAACCCCCAGAGCGGCAGGAGCCGTAGGCAGAGGAGGAGGAACCTGAAACAGAAGAGTGGGCTTTGAGTCCAACTCTGCAGAAAAAGTGCTCACCGCGGTGAGGCCCGAAACTTCCCCAGGGGCCGCATGGGCCGTGGGGCTCACACGGGCATATAGATGTGAAAGGATGCGCTGTTCCGCAAAGCCTTGTCAATCCATGTTCCCTGGAACCCACCCCTGCGGGAGGCAAGTAGGCAGCAGAGCCTAGTGAACGTGGGCCTGCGACTCCTGCTCTAATTCAGACAGAGCTGGTCAACCTGTACTGGTTTTCTATTCAGAGCCTGTATAAAGTGATCGGACCAGAGGGCTCTGATGCTCAGGACAGGGACAGGGGGCAGAGGACACGGGCCCCACCCAGCTGAAGTCAAATGCCATCTGTTGGCTGCCCTGAGGACTTCGCCTGGCATCTTCCCAAGAAAGCCTCAAAAACATCACCACGATGGAAGTGACATGCGTGCCTCCTGGCGCTATATGCCTGGGGCACATCACCGCCTAGGCAGGGTTGTTGCCAAAAATGTTGAACTTGAATCCTGCATAAGGAAACAGTCTGATCAATCTAAACAGGCCTGGGCTCTTCAAAAACCATCGATGTCCTAAGAGATTTTTTTTTTTTAAATGCTTCATCTGTTCAAGACTTAAAACGATCAGAGGGACATGACAACTATATAATATATGATCCCTGAAGGGATTCTGAGCTCTCCTGACCTTTTAAAGCAAGGGAGGGAAAGGGCTCTAAAAGAAATTATTGAGACAATTAAGGAAGCTGAAGACAGGCTATGTAACAAATAATAGAATTACCTCGATATTTAATTTCTCAGGCTATTAAATTTCTCAGGTACCATGATATTGGTACCAGGGTTATGTAAGGGAATGCTCTTGTTCTCGGGGGAGAGATACACGCTGAAGTACTTGGTATGTGATGTTGCTAACAAACTCTCAAAAGTTCAGGAAAACCAAATATTCTGGAGTGTGTGTGTGAGGGGGAGACGAAGAGAGGAAGGGCAAGAAAGCCCACGGCAAGTGTTAACAGGGGCTGAAAACTAGGTGAGAGTCTCGCAACTTGTAATAGTCTCACCACTTTCCTGAAGTGTTGCTATTTTCCAAAATAAAAAGTGAGGGATAGAAAGAAAGAAAGAAAGAAAGAAAGAAAGAAAGAAAGAAAGGAAGGAAGGAAGGAGGAAAGAAAAAAGCAAATCATGTCTGGGGAGAAAGCCACGTCTTCCCCAGACATCAGATGCCAGCGTTTGCAGGCTGCCTGCCACTCGGACCGTCCCTGAGTCAGCCGAGTGGGAGGCACTAAGGAAAGCTCCCTGCTGGCAAATTCCAGAAGTCCAGGCGGTCCCTTCCTTTCCCTTTCAGCCTAAAAGAAAACACACGTTTCAGAGAAAAAACAAAAAGCCAGAGCGTCCACTGGGCTTTCCGCCTGGGTGTTTGGTGGGAAGAAGAGTGGCAGCCACCCAAGCAACCTCAGCGGCCTGTTTGGAGTTTACCTGATGACAGGTCATAGAGCGCGGTGACGGAGGTAATGAGCTGGCAGCAGAAGCGAGGGCTGGCACTGAGTATCTGCTTCAGCGTCTGCACGGATCCCGGTACCAGACAGCAGTAGTCATCCACGAGGGCCCTGGCTAACCTCACACAGTAGACCACAGGCGTCCTCTGGAAAGAAGCCACAGTGCACGTAACTACAGGCATCATGAGCTCACGGAAGACAAAGACGTACGCGTGGAGGAGACCACCAGAGCTGGCGGCACCGCTCCCAACAGGGGAAAAAGATGCCCAGAGCTCACTCGGAAGCCGGGCCTGGGCAAACCCAAGGCCACAGGCCCAATCCATCCTGCCACCTGTTTTTTTGCAAAGCAACTTCTACTGATACGTGCATCCGCCTGGCTGTTTGCTGACTGTGTGAGGCTGCTCCCTACACAGCACGGGCAGAGAGGACTACTTGTGACAGGCTGTATGGTCTGCAGAACTTAAAGCATTTACCATCCTGCCCTTTACGAGAAAGGCCTGCTGACTTGCTCTGAAGTTCACTTAGGAAAGGTAACTTGTGACTTCAGGTGAGGAAATGACAACTTTTGCGACCCTCCAGGTGAGATTCCGAAGACAAAAATGAGTGGTCGTTACCACTTTAAAGAGCTCACGGAGAGTCTGTGATTGCCCCTGTGATTCTGGAGCAGCGGGTCCTACTCTTACAGGTTTCTGTGATACTTTCAAATCCTCTATCAGCACCCATCCCTGCTTTTTTCCTCCCCTCCTCATCAGAGGCCAATCTGTAGCTCCTGCCACATTCCACGGCTGCTCAGGATGCTCCAGGTCCAGGGCACCGATGTAGCCTACAGGGAGGTAGAGGGTGGGGAGAACCACGAGGAGACAGCAAGCCAGATTGTTCCCTCGGGCTGAACTCTGCCCCCACCACCTCAAACCGGCCATCCCGCCCTCCCCAACGGGAAGCTGCAGTCCCTCGCCCCAGTGTGGCAAATCTGGACTCAAACCACTAGGACCCTTTCCTGTCACTGACATCTGCTTTTGCTTTGCCAAAAAGCCAGTGTGACAGCATCACGAGAGAAAAATGAGAAATTACGTGATGAATTAGAAGATGTGAAGCCTGACTTCACTAGATGATTGATGAAGGGACAGAGATAACTGTGACATTAAATACAACATCGTGATCAATTCAGATGGCCCAGAAATCAGCCTGGTGACAATTAAGATACAGATTCCACTGAGACTTACCTGGGTACCACAGAGAACAGTATATTTTCTCCTAGCCAAATTTTGAGGATAAACAGATTTCAAGGAAAACATCTACATAAACTGGAGAAACAAACCCAACACCAAAGGCTCCAAGTACTTGAGAATGAAGCAGGTTTGTGAAACTGAACATGGTAAATTCTGTTAGCTTAGCTGAGAATCATGTTAATCTCAATTCTGAGTTAAAAATTACGTGGATTATCAATTTTTGGAAAGACTGAGCAACAAAAAAGCAAAACAAAATGAATCTTTCAAAATACCATCTAACACAAAATCTATTTGATATTCTTTGATATTTAAAAACATTCTAAAAGGCTCATGCGCCATACCCATTAGAAGAGCTGGGATCTTTGTAACGTCACCCTGCAACAAGGCGAAACGATTCACGTGCTTACTGACCTGTGTAATTTACTTACTTAAAAAAAAAAAAAATCTATCTTTGAGGCCACATTATGCATAGCTGTTTTCAAAATCCTACCATATCATTTTCAACCAAGGAAAATGATATTTTGCTTATTCTGGAGATGAAGAATTTTCTTTTTTTCTCTTAAATTCATTTACCATTACAAACAAGTTTTGTTAGGAATGGGTACTACCTTATCTAACCGTAGGTGTGGAGTATTAGCAGACAGGGCCGTGACATCAAGGAGATAACACACAGAAAATGCCTCTCCCAAAATCCTATTAAGGGGCACTAAACTCCTCTTCAGAGCCTCTCGGGAGAAGGCTATTTCTCGGGTAGTACCTGGAGCCAGGAAGCCGCACACTCCAACACTGGGATCCGACACACAGCCACAGCCATGGAGACCAGTTTTCCCAACAAGCTCATCCGGCTGTCATCAGCCTTGTTCCCTTGGGGGCTGAAAAGGGACGAGAAAATAATCTGCCGGACAGAGTCCTTGGTTTGCTCCTGGAAATAATTGCACATGATTTCAAGAAGTTGGAGCTCCTGAAGTGAATTCAACCTCTGCAAAAACAAATCCAAGAGAAGCGGTAAGAAACTTAGCTTTAACGTGCGCACTAATCCATACGGTAAGAAAACAGGAAATATCCTATTTTCCCCCTGGGAACTGTTCACCCCTCTAAAGCCTGGGTCCCAGGGGGAAGAACTCTGTTAATCCCGGGAAATGTCAGTATACAGAATTCGACATCATCCTGGGGCCCTCGGGATGATGACCTACAGCGGTCTGAGACTCGATTACAGGCCTTTAACGTCTCTTCCTGCAGCACCGCCGAGACCGGGCTGTCGCACGCCCGGCAAGCAGGCCCACAGCCGAGCAATGCTCCGGAAGCCAGAGCAGGTGGACTGGGGCTGCTGCGAAGGAGCGCGGCCCGGGGCGAGAACGGCGCCGCCGGTGGGAAGAGGGTCTGTGGTTGGCCAAGGCTTGTCACCGTGAGGGGCAGGAAAGAAGCGGGAGTTTCCTTCTCGCGGCCGCCCGCCGCACCTTGGGCTGCGCGCCGCGCTCCTTGGGCACCTGGAACACGAACTCCTCGAGCAGCTCCACGGGGCCCTTGTCCACGATGGGCAGCGGCGCGCTCTGCAGCTGGCTGCTGAAGTAGATGTCCAGGTGGTACAGCACCTCCTTGGCGGCGCTCAGCGCGTCGCGGCGCAGAAGCGAGTGGCGGATGTCGCTCATGGTGCGGCCGCTGCGGCCCGGGGCGCCCGGAGCGCGTCGGGACTTCCGCCCCGGGCCCCGCGGGCGCGCCCGCCGCCGCCGCCGAGACAAAGAGGCCGCGACCCGGCCTCCGCCCGCCGACCCCGGCGCCCGTCCGCCCGCCGCTCCCGCTCCGGCCCGCTCAGGGAGCCATCGCTGCCGCCGCCGCCGGCCAGCGGGCTCCCGGCTGTGCGAGTGCGGTGCCACCGAGGGCAGCGGGAGCCCGTCGCCGCGGAGCCGAACGGCGGCGGAATGCTGAGCGCGGCGACGGCGGCCCGCAGGGGCCAAGCGCAGGCGGCGGCGAGGGCTGGCTCTCAAGAGGGCGCCACCTGGCGGCGCGGCCCGCCCGAGCGGAGGGAGGCACGCCCCGCCCCACAGGCCCCGCCCCCGGGCTCCGCGACCGCCCCCGGACCTGGGGCCCGGCGCTCGGCGGCGCGGACCCACCACTGAACGCTCACTGGGCTTTGCGCTCCACCCGCCCGCGCGCCGGACGTGAAGCTCCGCGGGCTTCCTTTGCGCGGCGCTCTAAGTCCATTGATTGATTTCTCCGCGCTTTTCCACCTATAACAGAGGCGTGGTGGTGCAGGGCCGTGTCAAAGGGTGTGTCTAGTCTGGAACTCTTGGGGGTGCAGTGACAAATGATGCCATCCAACCCCCGGCCTCCGAGTCCCCCTACTCCCCAATCCCCTCCAGTGCGGCTGGCCATGGGAATCGTAGGTGTCCTGCTCCTGAAAACTCTCCCCTCCCAAAAATCCTCAACACTTTCTCTCTTCTGCATCCATCCCTACACTGAATTAACGGGGCAGTGGCAGCGTGGGGGCTGGGGTGTTAGTTTGCAATTTAAAAAATAGAGCAGAAAAAACTTGAACATGGCCACAAGAAGCCAGGGCAGGGCAGCCAGGAGACCACAAGTGCAAGATTGGGTCCTGTGGAAAAGGCCCATGCTGGCCACAAGGAGGGCTTGGGTGAGGGTGCTGGGCATGACTAAGGAGATGAAAAGCCAAGTCCTTTCCCTGGGAGAGCTGGAAAGGGCATCAAAGAGGGTGCAGCTGGTACAACCCTACCGCACTGAGACTCTCCTGCACACCAGGGGACACGGTCAAGGCCCCTCCTTTAGAAGCCTCGAATCTACAGTGGGAGACCAAGGTTAGCTGGAACCTTGAGAAGTCATCTTTGATGCCCTTGGCACCAGGACTTGAGATAAACTCCATTCCAACAGGCTGAGGGAACAAAGGATGAACAGGGAAGCTTTCTACCACAGGACTCAGCATGGCAGTTGTAAGGATTAAGCATCCAGGAAACACTAGTTTTCTCTTCCCTTCCTGAACCCCTGAGAGCCCATCGATAAACATGCAGAAACCAGAAAAAAAGACCCCCCACCAAAACCAAGAAACACCACACCAACTCTTATAGATACTTTCTATGTATAAATAAATTTATACTATATTTAAGTGGCAGTAACACTTCCCATTCTTAGTTTTTCTTTCTCTTATAATGTGCAGTGGCAGGTAGGAAGATCTCTCTGAGGTTGCTCCAAAGCCCATGGGAGTGAATGTTCCGGTAGACCTGGGGCTCTGCTGAAGGGGGCCGGGCCGCGTGGGGGCAATGCTGACACCAGGCTCGGTCACCTCGGTACCACTCGTTAGTGGTCTGGTTGGTGGCAGCCAGGTACAAAGCAAAGCACAGGTAGCCCCCCAGGAGGAGGCTCAGCATGACGACAAAGCCCAGCATGAAGACAATCCTCGGGAAGGTCACGAACAGGTACTGGGGGCAAAGAAGAAACAGCACATTAGGCAGCCAGGCTGGGACAGAAGAAAGGGTTGCACCCTCCAGCTGCGGCCCAGTCTGCAAACACTCGAGAGCTGCCCACCCAGCTCACCCACCTGCATACACATCTGACCGTCTAAACACAAAACTGAACCATAAGCAGCACTGAAAAGCAGCACTGAAAAACAGCCCGGGAGGAAACCTGCGTACCTACAAGAGTTCCAAGTGAGCTAAATGAAACGTGTACATTGAAGGAAAAGGGAAAGGATACTCCCAGGAGGGAGTGCCTTCCCTGTTATCGGTTTGTAAAACAAAGCCCTAACTACAGACCTGAGTTCATGCATCAAAATCAAGTCCAGATGGACAGAGGACATTACTCTCTCTCTCAACACAGCATGACCATGGAAATGTGCATACAAGAGTATTCACTACACTGATTTTAATGGCCCCTCTTCCTAAAAGAAACACGTTAAAAGTCTATCCACAGGGGTGCCTGGGTGGCTCAGTGGGTTAAAGCCTCTGCCTTTGGCTCAGGTCATGATCTCAGAGTCCTGGGATCGATCGAGCCCCACATCGGGCTCTCTGCTCCGTGGGGAGCCTGTTTCCTCCTCTCTCTGCCTTGCCTCTCTGCCTACTTGTGATCTCTCTCTGTCAAATAAATGGATAAAATCTTAAGAAAAAAAGTCCATCCACAAGGAAGTCAAACCTCGGGATAGTTACGCTCTGGAATAAAAAGGAGCCGATAAAAATGAGATCAATTTCTACATTCCAATTTGGAAAAGACATCGATAAAAGATTGCTGGATGTGAAAGACAAGAGGCGAGGCTCACAATGGGATCATGTTTGTGTAAAAACAAAAAGATTCCATGAAACTCCCTATGACTATAGAAACACACAAAGGAAAAAAGACTGAAATGTTCACACAAAACTACAGAAGTAGGGATGCCTGGGTGGCTCAGTTGGTTAAGCCGCTGCCTTCAGCTCAGGTCATGATCCTGACCTGAAGGTCAGGATCTAGGAAGGAACCCTAGATCCATGCAACCTGGGATTGAGTCCCATGTCGGGCTCCTTGCTCAGTGGGGAACCTGTTTCTCTCTCTGCCTCTGCCTGCCACTCTGCTTGTGCTTTCTCTCTCCCTCTTTCTGACAAATAAATGAATAAATAAAATCTTAAAAAAAAAAACAACAACAACAACTACAGAAGTAGTTGCCTCTGGGGCGTGAAGTTGTTAGGAGGGAAGGGGCGGATCTCCCAGTTTTCTTTTCATTGCTTCCTAAAGATGTTTAAAATTTCACGCTTCTCTCCCCAACTTTACTGATACATAATCGACAGGACACTGAAAATTTAAGGTGCATAACATTACATACAGCAAATGATCACAACAGGCTTAGTTAATACATCTGTCACCACACATGGTTACAATGTTTTTTTTGTGATGAGAACTTTTAAAACCTACTCTCTTAGCAACCATCAAATATACAACACAGTATTGTTAACTACAGTTCCCAGGCTGTACATTGTATCCCCAGGACTTCCTCATCTTTCAAATATGACTCTGTACCTTTAACTACCTATGCCCAATTCCCCACCTTCTGAATCTTTTTTTTTTTTTTTAACGCTTCTGGACTGCTTGAATTTTTATGTTATTTTTTAAAATAAAGAAAATGAATTTTGAAAGAGGTCAGTATTTTTAAAAATATTTTATTTACTTGAGAGAGAAAGAGAGAGAGAACAAGCTGGGGGGTGGGCAGAGGGTGAGGAAGAAGCCAAATTCCTGCTGAGCAGGGAGCCAGACGAGGGACTCGATCCCAGGACCCTAAGATCATGGCCTGAGCTGTAGGCAGACGCTTAACTGAGCCACCCAGGCACCCCAAGAGTTCAGTATATTTGAAAGTCAGGAGTAAGAGAGAATTAGATGCATCTCTTGACAGGGGAGACTTTCTAACTGAAGTTATAAAGAAAAGAGATATATTTGATGAGAAAGGAGGTCTAAGTTTTTTAATACAGAAAAGGATACATAAATTGAAAACAAATAGAAGAATGAACTGTCATTACTGCACGATCTCAAATCAAAATTCTAGTATCAAATAGGTAAACAGTTAAAAGGACATAATTCATAAAAGATCTACAAATAACTGACAAATGAGAAAAGTAATCAAAAGTAATGAAAGAAATAGAATTTTTAAAAAGGATACACAGTAGTTTCCTACCAAATTACAAGCACCTGCTGTCCCCGGGCATCCTTAATGCCAGCTCCGACTCAACGAAATGAACACTGATAAAAATATATATTCAAGTCAAAAGATTTATAAATGTCAATAATCTCTGATCCAGTACATATTTTTTGGAATTTATCCTACAGAAAGTCCTAAGTACAAAGACAAAACTATATACACTGCAAAGGGGAAAACACACTTCACCCATGGAGAGAGCTGTGTATCACGGGTCCCATGTCCCACCTGATAGGAAGTAACATGAAATACACATCCCTACCTAGGAAGCATTCTTGCCAAAAATATTTAACCTGAATCTAATCAAGGCTCTAGAACTAACTTCCAGTTCATATTAATATGAAGGAATAGAGGAAAATCTGTTGACAGAAGTAGGAAAAAGGCAAATTTAGAACAAGGGACATTCTAAAAGACAACCAACTAAACTACTAAATGTCAATTTCATGAAAAAAAAAAAGCAGGGGCATTATTTTAAACAGACTAACAAGACAACATTCAAATGCCTAATGATGAGGTGAAATCTGCTTCAAGGAGGTAAAAAAGCTATAAAAAATTCATTTGAAAAAAATGAAAAAAAAAAAGAAACAGTGGGGATATTTCAATATGGACTAGATGATTTAGTACCTATTTATTATATATCCTGTTTATTACACAGATTTACTATTACTTTTCTTATGTGAAGTAACATAATTATAGTTATATAGGAGAAGGGTGACATTCTTTAAAAATGCATGTTCAAGTATTTAGGGGCAAAGCAACAGGTCTTCAATTTATGAGCCCAATATGGGGCTCGGTCCCAAACACCAAGATCACAACCTGAGAAGAAATAAAAAATTGGATACTTAACCAACTGAGCCACCCAGGCACCCCATAATTGAAAAAAAATTTAAGAGTAAAAACTATTCAAGGTTGAAATGACAAGGTTATCACTACACAACCTATCAGAATAGCTAAAATGAAAAATAGTGATAACATTAAGTGCTAGCAAGGAACCAGACAAACCAGTCCCTCCCCCATCACTGGTGAGGATGTACAATGGTACAACCACTCTAGAAAAGAAGATGGTGGTCCTTTCCAAGACCGAAAATGGACTTATCATCAACCCAATGATC